CAACGAGAAACGCCACAAAACTCAATCAATCCTAAAGGGATCATCAATGTTGGAGGAAATGGAAGATTATGGGTATATTTTATATACCAGATGGTGCTGTTTTTCTATGGAATCCAGCTGCCTACGGTATTCTGCCTTAACTAACTCATCTGGTACATCAAATTCTCCCTCGACCGAAATTTTCACCTAAGAAAAATACCATAAATTAATCAAAGATGGTAGAAAGAAAAAAGAAACCCAGAATTTCAAATTTTAAAAACGATTTTAAGGGAACCGAGTTAGAGAATGCGTACAGGAAATTGAGATTGGAGAGATGGCAGCTTGTTGAGCTCAGGTATGGTCTGGTCTACGCCTGAAGGCAGGGCTATGGCAGAATGGGACGTGGAGTCGGGTTCACTTCTGTTGGGTTTGGTGGGTCGTTTCAGGGCAGGGGAATCGAACTGCGCCCTGACCTGGGCAGTGATTTTTTGCTGTTGATCAACGTCCAAGACCTCGTCGCTCCGGCTTGGTTTCGTCGCCGTCAACTGAACCACCATCTTGATCTCGATTCTTCGCGTCTTCAGATACAACCAGCAGTCCTGGATTGGATTTGGGTCCGCAAATCTATTGCATATGGAGGAGTCAAAAACCAGGGGCCACTGGAATACCGCCTATCTTTGGTGGATTTGTTGGAGCCTTGCTTAGAATTAGCTCAGTTGTTGTTCAGGCCCAGAATACTTGGACCACATCAAACGATCCAAAGCAATAAATCATGGTTCTAAGCCCATTAGCTGAAACAACATTTTTTTTTTAAGTCCACGTCCACCATGACACCATCTACCAGGCTGGCTACTTTCTAATTTCTAATTTTTAAATTTTATTGAAAATTTTTTTATTTTGAAAGCAATTAAAAAGTATTGTATAGATTGTTAATGAGTTTAGTGATGAAATTTTAATAAAATTTTGTTAGAATTGTTAAATTTTTTGTATTTAGTAAGAAATTAATGTAAAAAACTTTGTATGAAAATTGTCAAATATGTCTCAAAAATAAAAAAAAGTTGAGAAAAA